AATATTTTTGGATGAAATATCAATCGCATGTAATAGGCTCGCAGAAGCAGCTACACAGTTGCGTGAGTCAAAATACACATAAACTAACAAATCACAATAGCAAATGCCGTCTGTGTGTGACTTATCAAGCGCACAGATCATGTTCATTCGTGTTTGATACGTATGATTGTTTATGTGCGCCTGTGACGACAACAAAGACTCCGTTCGCTTCACTCACCCGTTGCCGTTTATGTGCTGTTGTGAAATATGATTGTGTATTTATATACGAAGAGATTTAATGTTGCTGATTCTGCGCGCCTGTTACATTGGGATCGAAAAATGTTAAATATATTACCTATTTTCCCACATACTCACTTTTATTTCAACCAGAATAATTTAGTAACGTACTCTCCTTTATTTCCAACCAATTTGGCCAAATCACATACACTCCTTTCGTAAAATTAAAATGAACAAAAACTTACTTCCTTTTATGACAGACTAAATTGCTCGAAATACGTGCTCTCCTTTAACCATTTTTACCATGAAAAAACATGCTCTCGTTTATCGTACTACAATTCCGAAAAACATACTCTCCTATCGATATTTTCGATAGATATAAAGTCTATCTATATATATTGCCTTTTCGGGCAAGTGGGGCCTCTGAGGCCCGACGTACATTTTCCATGCAAATTCAATGAAAAAAAAATTTTTTTATCAAATTTCATTAAATGTATACGACGAAAATTATTTTTTTAACATAATAGATATTGAATTAAATAAGTTTTTTGTAAAGTTAAGTTTCAGTTCAGTAGTTGTTAAGTACAAATTTTGCAATTCATTTTTTAAAAAAATGATGACATTTTGTATGGAAAATGTACGTCCGGTAGTTGTTCAAACCTCAATACAGCGCTACTTAGGGAACCAAATTCAAAACAACTTTTATCAACGATTAGTAGAAGGATGAAAGAATATATCTATTGAAAACAGCGAGAGGAGAGTATGTTTTTATTCAGACATTACTCAGCCATAAGCGCTGAATAACATACTCTCTTCTCGATATATTCAATAGATATTACAAAATAATTTGTTTGATTAAAATAATATTTTATGCGATTTTATGTATCTTTTTTTTTTTTAAATGTGCCACCGGGCCTCAGAGACCCGACCTGCCCGGTTAAGGGTTAAGAAGAAATTCGATGACAAAACAGACATAGAAATGAATCTGATTAATGCAAAATGTGAAGTACATTAAACTAAATCCAGATTATCTCTTGCTCGCATCTGAGGCGAAGGCGTTTAAATAAGAAAAGTGAAATTATGAAATTTCTTTATATGCAAGCACACAAAAAGAGAAATGTGCGTCTCGCACAGTGACACTATTTTGAATGCGTTAGTTCGTTTGCCGCAATAGAATGTTTGTACGTAAGTCAGTCTAATATAAATAAGAATTGTAACATCAACCCCAGCAGCGGTCATTCGTTTTACCGCATCAAGATGAAAATGATGTACTGCAATGGCATGTTTGAATTATAAACATTATACATATATTTGATTTTTGGGCGAAATGACAACTTATATGATTCAGTTTGTGACGATTGAATCACACATAGTAAAAATAGTCAATAGCCAAATCAAAAGTCGATGCATAATACAAATTGCACACATATAATATTATACACATGGGATATAGCACATAAAAGTTCGTACATTCATTCCAAGCATAATGAGAACCGCATGAAATAAAATCACCAGAGAAATATACTAGGAGTTTTTGTGGAAATTTGATTTTTTTTTGCTCTGGGATTGAATGTGTTGCGTCACTTACGCAATGTGAGATTTATTCTCTTTGTAAAGCAAAAATGAAAGAGCACTCGTTTTATGTTTCAGATCTGCATGAAATTTGCGATTGTCATTTATTGTTTATTTGCAGTTTCATGAAATCTACACTATTTATACTCAACTATTCAGATTTCCAGGCTACTGTAAATGAGAATGGTAGAATTTTAATGTTACACCGCCATACAAAAAATGCTGACTGTCAGCATTTTTTTGTATGGCGGTGTTACATTTCAATAAACTCTCAGGAAAAGTCTCACTTTCATTCTCGGACAATCATATATAAATATATCGAGTACAGAGTTGCGATAAAGAAAGCATCATATTTCTGAAATCGATGTCAATTGTCAATCGCGTTAATGAAAGGTAGAACCATAAAATTTAATCTTAATAAATATGTTTTGCTAATTAAGAGCTGTTCAATTCAAGTCAGATTCGCCAAATGTCAGTTACCAAAAAAATAATAATTCGAATTCACTAATTGAGTAATTTTGAACACAAATACGACAGGCATGATGATGTGACTGTAGTCGAATATATGGACATAAAAACATCGAACACATACACTACAGCACAATGAGCTTAGCTTATGGCTTGGCATAAAAGGTGGTTAACCTTTTTCCTTTTCTGTCGTATCTATGACGCCTGAAATTATGAACAACAAAAATTGTCGCATAACAAGGTATTTGGTACGCAGAAAATTGGTTTCAGTTTCTTGAATTTCCCAGTAGCATTTGATCGGCTAGACAAGTAAAAAACAGAGAGGAACTTAATAGGTAAAATATCTCCCCGCCTGACTCAGCATCGAAATTTTTTAAAATATTTTATTGGTTTTTGTTTTGTCTTTGGAATTTTATGTGATGTATGAAGTGGGGTCATATATTCTTAACGGAATGTTTAATAAAATCTGAGGTAGACGTCGTTATGCCTTCATTTATTTCATTCGGTATTTCATTGTTGTTGTGTTTTCTTATATTAAACATACAAACGCATATATGCCTTGTGGTTCTTTGTTTATGATTGTTTTTTACGCTCACATTCAAAGTATGAAATACTGACAGGCACACAAACACACAGAAAAGAGCCGATTATTTTGATATATAGAGAGAGCATGTGTGTGTGTACATGATAAACATATTCGTTTATTGAAGAATACACTTTCTGTTGCATACATTTTACTGATATATTTAAGAATAATTCCATGTTATTATTCTCATTTTATTCTTTCATTCAATTTCTTACCCTTTCACCATGTTGTTGATGTTTGCTTCTTCCGTTGTTGATTGTTGTATGATATCCAATGCGTTCTAAACTTGTATTTTGGGATCTGTGACAATGGTAGCTGGTTGCTTTTACTCGATATCTCTCCTTAATTCTCTAACTAGGAGTTAGTCAATATGCACTTGTTGATGGTTCTGCTTTGAACGTTCAAATTAATTATGAACAATTTTTTTTGACAATGATACGTTATAAATGAAACAAATGATATAGTGAAAACGGCACAGGCACAAAAAACTTGTTAAATTGAAACACTAATACACACAAACAATCACTGTTTCCTGTTGCTGTTGCAAACAAGGAATATTGTTGCTGGTGGCGTCGTGTTTTTTCTTCTCACCTTTCGTTATTTACGTTATGTTAATTGATATATTCGTTAATTCTTTTTTGCGCATCATAAGAAACATGGCACTGAGTTTTGCGGTACAAAAACATTTATTTCACATAGTTCTCGGTCAATAGACACTCACGCGTGTTCACTTTGTTTCATCATCACTTGCGAAGTTTTTTATTTGAATCTTGCGAAAAACCATTGCTACTATGCCCTTTTTGTGTAATGATAATTTTTAAAGCAATAATAAAAATTTTCGGAAAATAAAACAACAATAACAAAATAAATACAATTTATATATAGAATCAAATCGAATCAAACTCTTTTTATATTGAGAATAGACCTTTTTAGCAATCTTCTCAAGGTAACGTCAGATTTACATACTGTTTTTCTCTATGCGAAACAAAGAGCATGCACTTGTACTTCTGTTTCATATTTTCTTGGTCTTATGTCATATGAAATAAAAATATCTTTTTTGAGCACATATAAAAATGAATGTTTTCAACCTCGATATGCAATGTGCAATGCAGCATTTGATTTTCTAGTATGTTTACACAATGTCAACAATTTGCACAATCCAATGATTATGAATTTTCATTTATGACGTTTTATTTCGTTCTTCTTTTCAATACTCTAATGGTAAATCTTATCGAAACACATCGCGTGAAAAAAACATCAACGCGTCATTATCAAATTTCTTATTTTACATCTCACTCCCTCTCTTTCATTTTTTTTAAATCCTAAAATGTAAAATTGTAAATGTAAAAATCAAGTCTTTTGACCATCAACATTCAGAATTTTTACAACAAACTGAAAAATTTCGCCTTTTCTTTATCTTGCAAAATGATTTTTCGCTCATCAACAAATATAATTTCGTCACTCATACACGAAAAAGTTTCCACTATTTTGGTTGCACTAATGTTGCTCAACCAATATCATGATTATTTTCTTTTATTCACTTTGTGTAGTTTTATTTTAACCTGCATTTATCCCCTTCGTTTTATGATGAGAAACGAGAAAATGAAGAAAAAATATTGTTTCGTTTTCGCTATGATTTTCTCACTATACTGTGCTGCCTTCGAAGAATCGGATTGCGTCTCTCACTCCGTTGCTCTGGGCTGTATTACAGTATGTATGTGTGTTTATGCTTGCATTAGATTCTTGAAAATGTTGTTTTCATTGTTTGTGCTCTCCACACAAGAGGAAGAAAATGGACTCAACGCGACGCACTTTTTTCTATAGTTAGATTCGAAGTATACTTGCCTGAAGTTGGTACACATTATGTATGTATTGAAAAATTACTTGAATAAAACTGAGAGTGAAAGGCTCAATCACTGGGCTAACTTCACGCGAATCTGTAACTGGTGACTGTGTTCACCATAAATCAATTGCATCAAACTTCATGTTCATCAAAGGCTTAACGATTCAAATCAGTATTTGTTTCTACATTTAGCAATTTTATTTTTATTTTAAATTTCTCACGATTATTTATAAAATCCGGTATCAATATCAAATTTTATTTATAACAATTAAATTTAACGATTTTCATCGTTTAATTTCAATATGATTAAAGTTCTTATGTGTTAAACTCTTTTTATTTAATAAAAAATTTACAATTTATAAAATGTGTAACATTTCAGTAGGTTTCATCATATCCGTAATAATCATCACCGGCATTTAACATAGAAGCCAATGAAATTTGTTCTGTATCTTGACCAATTTCTTCATCAATATCGTCCTCTTCAGCTAAATAATGGAATATGAAATAAAATAAATTCAGTAAATTATTAAGTCATTTTTGCTGAAACATCATTTTCACCATTTTCATCCTCGCTCATCTCGGACTTTTTTATTAGCGTTTTTGCTAACTCATATGGTTTCAATTTCGATGATTTAATATTTAGTACAGGCTCTTGTTTCCTTCTCGGTTGTCTAATCAGGAATAAAAAATTTCGTTAATTAAAAATTTACGTTTTTCTTCGAAATTACCAAAATTCAAAAAAATCAAAGTTCGGCCATACTTAAAGGTGCTTGAATAAGATGTGCTCGCGGATGGTGCGTTGAGATTTTCAGTTTTTAGTTCATTCGTATTGTTTGGTTCATTATCAGTTATGGTAGTGGTAATGCTAGTAGTGGCTACAGATGGTGAAGTCAATGTCTTCAGAATCTCATAATTGATTTTCGTGGAAATTTTCTTTTCTTGTAACATTTTTTCAATGGCTTCGCCGGCTGTATTCGATGGTCCGATATTTTTCTTTCTACTGACACGTCGTTTTTTCTTCTCGGGTTTACCTAAAGTGACAAGAAGAGTATTTGTGGTCAAGCTTTATTTGAAGATTTCCTTTTTTCATATAGATATTTCAATTTTGTTTAAACATCATTCCATTCTGCTAAATATAGAACTTCCCAATTTTGATTTACCTTCTTCTTTTTCTTTGGCCAATCGTTCTTCTTTGGCTTTTGCTTCGCGAAGATAATCAGCATTTAATTTATTCCACATTTCGTCTTTGTATTTTGACTCATCTTCCGTCATAATATATCCGTCGATTTCTTCATCATCTAAACCATCAGTATCCAATTCGCCAGTTTCAGTTTGCTGTGTTTGTTCGTTTTCTACATCAGATTTTTTATAATCAACAACAGGTGCACACATGGCTGCAATATCAGGTGCAATACCTCGATTATATGCTAGTCGATCGTCCGAAGCTGGATCGTCAACGTTTTCTTCTAAACATTCATTTATCACATCTAATGTTGAGTTTCGTATAAATTTATCCGTTTCTTCACTTTCCGATAAATCGTTTCGACGTTTTCTTGAACCTCGCCGCAACTCTTGATCCAAATAGCTATCAATTTCACGTTGCAAATCCGTAAATTCAGCCTCATGTTCAGGTAATTTTTGCAGTCGTTCTTTGTCACGTTTTCTTGCTGCTTTAAATGCTGGTGGATCTTGCTCGGCTTCCAAATCAACTGCCATAAATTCATCCAATGTTAACATACTACTGGGCGTATCACCAAATTCAATAAGACGCTTGCCTAGTGAAGAATCACAAAGAAAAGAATTATAGAAAATAATCAATATACATAAATATTTGTGAAATAGTTCCCAATGATATATGATATCAGCATCAAACTTATATGTATGTATATGTTAAGAACAGTAAGAGTAAGCAAGTAATAGAAATTGCATGAGCAAACAACATTGCTTGATATTCGATAGTGTAATCGATCCTGTATTTCTAGTACTTTTTAAGAACTTATCGAAGAAGAATCAATAAGAATTATTAAATAATAGAAAAACAAAAGACGCTTACGCAATGTTGATTCATGAATTTTTACAATTCGCACAATATCCATTGGCGTTCGATTGTAATCATGCATACGAGCTGCTATTAACAATGCAGCCCCACATAATCCAGAGGGTCGTCGGCCCGAATGTATGGAATCTTTCATCATTCGTTGCACCAATCGTTGTGCCGTCATTGAAACTTCGTGTGTTTTCTCACCAAATTCCAACTTTGTAGCAAACCGCATTATGTATAAACAGGGATCTATAAAGTAAATAAAAAGAAACAAACAAACAGTAATTAGATATATCTATATTTCGATATTTGCATAATCGTTTAATTGCATTCAACTTATTTCAATTGAAACGCACGCATAATAAGCACTTGTCACTGGCAACTTGGCAGTCACTTCTATCATTTTCTCATTTCCTACATCTTATATGAATATTCTAATTATATGCAAATTTAATTTCAAAATTGAATGGAGAAATGCAAGTACACATAAAATCGAACATATAAATTGTCATTTACCGGCATTTATTTTTTAAAATCTTAACTTTAATCTTTTCCAAATAAGTTGAGAAACTAAAATTCAAATGAAATAAATATATACACACTAGCAAATACTAATGCATTAAGTGGTGACCTCAACAATCGATGAATGGATTCTTTAAATTATTTGCATATATTCAAATCGATAGTTATTTCTTCAATTTTTTCATACGGCCTTTCTAGCATTCAGTTTTTCATTAGAATGAAACCTTACAAATTCATATTTTCGTGGGAATTCTAACGTAATTCATCGAGTTTTCTAAAATAGTTGGCTGTGTGGTCAATAAAACGTCCTGTGATGCAACCATCAGGAAACGTGGCAGTTATATCATTCGCATGTTTGATGAGTACATAATATCACAATATTGTCCTCTAAACATTTCCACAAGGAACTCGAAGCGTTCAATACAAGAAGTGTGTGCTTGCAAACCAAATCCGACCAAAAGGAGCAAACAATTACTACATTTGCGAGGAAGTATTGAACGAGCATCCCTTCGAGATGGACTGTGGAATGTAGGTCGTTTGATGTCAAAGAAGCCAGGTTTCTTCAAAACATATATATATTCGAATATTGTAAACATCGAAATACAAGGATCAAGTCAAGCACAACCAACACTCATAATTGTATGGCATCGTGATAGTATACCCTAGTCATTCGATAGACAAGTGTGTGGTGTTCAATCGAAGAGTTCATCCAAATAAACGTGGACCTTCACGCAATGTTCATAAACAGGCACATTCACTCTATGGAACTAGCATCAATACTTATTTAATAAATTAGTTTATATTAACTATTTGTTAGATTGTTGGGCTTCTAATTTCAAACAAAATGTTACCTTGATAGAGTACGTTTATTTATTCGCATTTCCAATTGAATATAACTACAAGGTGAAGTTAAGCGTAATAAACGAAGATCGGTAAAAGTTAGACGATGTGATTACGGGACAAGTTGATGGTTAAGATTTGATAGCCACTTAAATGAAAGACTTGGAAGACGTTTATAATTGAAAAAAGTCTATATAGTTCATCAGTAATGGAAGAGCAAACAATCAAATATGTTGAATAGCAAAAAGATCATCGAAATGAATATTCAATCAAATTGAAATGTTCAAGTATAATCTAAATACCAAATCATAAACATTTCGAGGAATTGAATGTGTGCGAAGTTTCTTTCAACGAAATTCATTCATTGAGTATGCTCGCATAAAATTTTAACGGTATTGTATACGGTTTTTTGGATTAAAAATGATCGATTAAAAAGCCATTTAGTCTACAGTTTCGTTGACAATATCACAGAGCTGGGCACGAACATCAATGTCCGACTGTGATCGGTCGTTCGTGTGCGTTTTTTTCCTTTTTTGTGATCAGTCGTATGTGCGATCGAACACCGAACACGTGCGGACGTCCGGATGTTCGAAACAAAATTCTAAAATCAGGTTTGTTAAATAATTTATAGTTGTACAAATTTAAAGAAAAAAATATTTAAATAAATAAATTTTCAAATATTTTCCAATTTATATACATTTTCTTTCTCAAGTGTTTGAAATATTATTATTTTTTTATTATGAAATGTTATGAAATTCATCTATATTTATTTCATCATTGAAAATATGAGATTATTTCAGGTATAGACTATACCAAATATACGGAATTTCCTAAGCTTCGTAAGATATTTTGTTAGTGCTCAAATTAAGAACAAAAGCATTTATTTAATTATTATTATTTTTTGTACAATTTCAAAATATTTAACAGAGAATTGCAAACTCGACTTGACAATTTTTGCGCCGAACATCCGGACATCCGGACGTGTTCGGTGTTCGATCGCACATACGAATGAACACAACGAACATTTCAATTTTTACGAACGACCGACCACAAAAACATATTTTTTCAATGTACGAACGACCGACTGTTCGTGCCCAGCTCTGAAATATCAACAGACAAACCAGACCAAACAAGTGATTTTATAAAAAAAATTCTAACCGACTCAAATACAAAGAGTTTCTTAGCAATTGTATGACACTTTAGTAAGAAAGTAGTTCCAACTATTTACCATAGCAACATAAAATAGCAACTTCGAAACAAATACGCATTTCCTATACTTATC